AACGACCTTGATATCTAAGAACCTTATCTCCCCCTTGGGAGTAAGCCTATACGGACTCGTCTAAGCCTCATATCTTTCAATTCTAAGGTCGGAGCAAGTTATCACTAAACTTTCACCTTCATCACTCAAGATGATTCTAAACCATAGAGGATTACACTTCTACCTTCTTTCAAATGAGTCTACTCACTCAACATCTCTAGGCATCACTTATACACCACTATTCATTAAATCCTCCAACACACACTAAAACTCATCATGACTAAGTCGTGTTCTACGAACAAACACACATAACCATAAAGTAACCTATTCATACCAAAGGATTCCATCTAAACCTATCATATCAAGCCTCATCTAGTCATATAGCCATAATTGGCATCAACACTAACCTTTTTTCCTTCATCCTTGTAGCATGAGCCCTTTAAGTGGTCATAACTTAAAGACTATAGGATCAGGAATATGAGAGAGAGCTTATAGAGTTAAACTCTATGGCACGACTTGAAGAATGAAGAAGTGAGATTTTTCCTAACATCCAGTAGCCTCCTATTCGTAAATGTGGTGCGCTTCACACTATGAACAAGACTCTACTAGATGTGGTTTGAGACATCCTAAAACCATCCCAAAAATCTTGTGCCCTGATACTAAGTTTGTTACGACCCGAGAGTACCCTCTAGACGTAACACGACATATAAAACTCCAAGAGCCTTATACAAGCCTCTTAGCTTATTATAACATAAGAACATAAGAAATTTTGCAGAAATTTAAAACTTTTCTTTTACAATGGAAGTCTTTATAAAAATGAGCGGAGTCTATGACACCATGTCTCAAACCATCTACAATACTCGAATACACTTTGGGACATAGCCCATACTAAAGCTCTAAAAATAAAATAAAAGACATAAAGGAAATAGTGGGTTTGTCCTCGAAGCTATGAGGACTCACCAAGTCTTCAACTCCTTGCTCCTTAGAAACCTATCTTCCAAGAATAGAACTCAAGTCTCCAAACCCTACACTTTGTAAAAATGTAGAAGAAATATGGGTTAGCATAAAATGTACTAAGTATGATAGCCATGTATCAAAACCTTTGAAAACATGCTAAAAGGGACATTTTAGTTGAGTGCATGCACTTTACTAGTTTAAACCATTATTTGGAAAGTAGTGTGAAAACACAATCATAAGCATAAAAGACATCATGAAGTGATATATACTATAGCATGGTAGACATCAATCACAACTAGTGAACACAAGAAATATCATTAGGAACATATGCATAGTCAATAAAATCTAGTGTTAACATGTCATGTAAGCAACACTTCATGATCCACCTCAAGGCAAGCTTGTGCAATGCATAGGTAAGATCACATAATCCCACCTACACTAAGCAAGTCACTTTAGATCTTCATTCATGTTTACCCTCTTTTGATCTCATCCTTAGCCTATCTCTCAATAGACTAGGAAACATTCACTTTTAGTCAACCACATCATTGAAAGCAACTCACATCAATAGTCCAAGTTAACATGCAACATTACAAGTAGCCTTGACATCAAATGCAAATACCATTTAAACACAAGAACATTCATTACATGAGTCATCTTGACAAATAAGAACCTACCATAAATACTCTCAAAGCCTACTTGTGCAATGCATGGATGAAGTCCCATACCCCCACCCATACTAAGTAGAACTCCTTGAATAGCCATAGTACATCCTAGACTTGACCTTGTGGGAATTAGCCTTAACCGACATAGACCATGTGAGCTTGCATGGAATTCGGTGTCATGCCCCACACAATAAAGAGGTGTCCTACTTGCCTAAGGTAGAACAAAAATGTATTAGTTTGGAAATGAATCCAATGGCTAAATAACCTATGGGGGCACGTAGTTATGGGATAAGGAGATTGCTACTAGAAACCCAACCTTACTTAACGGGGGAGATACCATCTCATGATATTTACATTTAGAAACCCGACCTATTTAATTGATGGGAGAGCCTGTATCTCATATTCAACATCCACTCGGTGCTAGGCATAACTTCCCATGAATACATGTTTAGTCTTGAATTTAAGTTACAAGCAAGAAGGAGTATCTTACCCTCCATCCAACACAATTCATAAAGATAGCTCATAGATTCATTAGGTGAGAATGGACTTTCAACCTAGAATCTTCATGATAGATTCAATTAGGTGAGAAGTAACTTTCAACCTAGAATCTTCAATATGTGAGGAAAGCTTTCACATTATACTCATTATGTGTTTATGAGAATGAACTTTCAATCAACACAATAATATCATCATAATCATGTATAAGTGTGTATGAGTGAGAATAGACTTTCAACCACACCACAATTACATCAAAGTTATGATCACTTTAATTTCTCAAAAGAAGGTCTTAAATCATGAACACACTTTCACAAGACGGTATAATATCATATATTTCCCCTTTAAGGACCAAAGACCATATTCAATCAGCACATCTAGCATTCATCTTATTAGATATGGATATAATCATAGTTCAAGTAATTAAGTTATAAAATGCATGAATCTCAAACACTCATAATATAGGTCATGTTGGTGGAGTCCTTCCACAATAAAACCACATACATTTTGACACACACAATAGCTTCTCTCTTAAAGCCTTAACATCATTAGCTCATTTATATTAGCTTTTACCGTTAAGCCCTAGAAGTCATATTCATACTACAAGACTTACTCTCAATAAATACCTCACATGATCATTATGTATACCTAATTCTCAAGATAATCTAATCACATGCCTCATTCTTAACCAATTATAGTAATATAACATCATACAAACTCGATCTCAATACCAATAAACTATGATCCATCACAAAAGCCCTAATCTAATCAATTCATGTTTACAAGCTTTAGTTTTAAGCAATTCATATTTAGTTCCTCTAATCTCACGTAGTTCACAAAGTTCATCAATCTTAGAAGCTCACATGTAAGCCCTCAATTGCCTATTCCATGGCATCAGCCAAACTATATCAATTTCACCCTAATAACTTAAGTTAATCAAGAATACATGTATAATAATACTAAAATCATGTAATTACACCATAAACAACCATTATTCATTCACTTGTATCAACATATAATATTACCCAAACTTTAAGATGCACTTTAGAAAAATTAGAAAATTCATGGATCCTTGAAGAACTCATCTTAAAACCTTGGTAATTCATCAATTTTATCATAATATAAGAAATTAAATCATTGAAAACTTTTTTTTAGAAAGAATCCATGACTTGGAGTGAAAACCCTAGGTTTTGGAGAATTTTCTAGTTTCAAATTGAGAGTTTAAGGACTTCATGGATGAAAAGTTAACCATGAATCAAAACTACCATACCTTAGTTGAAGATTATTCACGAATTTGAGTGGAAAAGTTGAGTTCTTATGCCCTAGACCTTGACTTCTTCTTCTCCAATAGAGGTTCTTAGTGAGAGAAATATATGGGGGTAAAGTTAGTTATGATTTGGGGTATTGGGAATTATGAAGTAACTAGGTTAGTTAATGGTTTAAAAATACTTATATAAGTCTATTAAAATGAATTAAAACTACCCTACACTAAAATAATTAAATTGGGAATTTCCTAAAACTAACTTACCTTGGCCTACTTTGAAGCAGCTTTGCAGGCCCCATCCATGACCCCCCACCCACGGGGCGTGGATGGACCCATGGACCGTACTGATCACTCGTGGGTTGGGTTTTGTAGCTCCTCAACATGGATCTTGGCCCACGACTTGGTTCCACGGGGTTTGGATGGACCTACGCCCAGTAGGTCCCATTCGTAGGTCACACAAATGGGAAGTTTTGGGGATGTTTAGGGTTAGACTTTAGGGTCGTTATCAAGGACCCCTTGGTTGGTTCTTGGGGGGTAGTACCTTGATGTTAACTCCTAAACACCTCATCCTAGGTACGGGAAGACATTTTACAACATTAGCCCACACACCAAACTCTAAAACTCACACGCAAGGCTCTAGTTTTACCTACTAGTTTTAGGGGGAGTAACAGTCACAAACTCAACACCAAATCACTCCACTATATTAATATTATGAAGAAACTCATGACAATCAACAAGGAAATCATAAGCATCTTCAGATTCAGTTCCATTGAAAACTCGAGGATTTAACTTTAAGAACTATAAAAAGAGATCATGCTTGTCACTAGTCATTATAAGCCCTGCATAATTCAATCGGGGAAACATGTCTGTTTCCAAGGATGCATGTATGAGGAGAGCCACAGGAGATGCATGTTGTACTCCTCGAACCTGAGGTGGTGGTGTAGAAAATGTTGAGGTGCTTGGCCCTGATTAGATAACCCGCAGAGATAAGTCATAACCTATCTTACTGTTATCAGCACTACTACCCCACAGGAAATTCCTGCATATCTTATCCACTTTCTTGAGAATGCTTTGGGGTAATATCAACACTGTCCCCCAGAAACTATGGAATGAAAATAGTACAACATTAATCACTTGTAGCTTACCAACATATGAGAGCTTCTTTGAGTAAGTTAAACTGATTCTTTGAGTAAGCTTGTCAATTAGAGAATAATATGTCAGTTTTTGTCCATTTCTTTGGTGAAAGAGGCAAGCCAAGGTACTTGATAGGGAATATACCAACTGAAAATTGAGTTCTTGTTAGAATTTTCCTTCTTGTGTCCTCATCAACTCCAGCCAAGAATATACTTGATTTGTCCAAGTTTGCCTCCAAACCAGTAGCAACATTAAAGTGTGGTAACGCTTCCATTAATCTACTCATTGAAGCCACATTCCCCTTGCAGAATATCATGAGATCATCAACAAAAAATAAGTGAGTGAGTTGCAGCTTCTTATACATTGGATGGAATCTGAAGTCAGGAAGCTCACTCATAGTCTGAAGTGTTCTTGACAAGTATTCCATGACTAATACAAAGAGCAACTTAGATGCAAGGTCTCCTTGTCTTAGTCCTCTTTTTCCAGAAAAAAACCATTGTTCTCTCCATTCACTTTGTTGAAAATATTGTAGTAGTAACTCCCAACATGATCCATTTGATGGATTGTTCAGGAAACCCAAAACCACCTAGGACTTCCTCAATAAACTCCCAGCTCACCATGTCATAAGCTTTCCTTAGATCTATTTTCATAAAACTCCTAGGAGATACATTCTTCCTATTGTAGTGTCTTAGTAAATCATGACATATCAACAAATTGTGCATCATTGATCTCCCTTGTACAAAGGCTGACTGGTTTTTTGCTACTATATGGCTGACAACAATTTTTAATCTACTGCAGATTAATTTTGATATGCACTTATAAATGACATTGCTATAGGAGATTGGTCTATATTGGCTGGCAACTTCAGGCACCTCTATTTTTGGATTGAGAGTAATACTTGTTGAGTTGATCTGCCTTAGAATCTTACTATTCTGAAAAAATTCTTGCACTGCATTTGTGACATCCTCTCCCACCAAAGACCATGCTGCCTTGTAGAATCCACTGTCATACCCTTCTGGTCCAGGGCTCTTGGTGCTGTAAATTTGAAACATAGCCTTTTTCACTTCTTGCGGTTCAAATCTCTGAATGAGTGCACACTGTTGTTCTTCTTTAAGCACCTTCCCTTTTCTTATCAAGTCTCCTATTGGTCGACATCTATGCACTGTCTTTGTTCCCTAGAATTTCCTCATAGTACTCCACAAGCAGACTTGCAATAATTGTTGGATCTGATTGCCATACTCCCTACCTGTACTTCAGTTTTATTATGGCATGCTTCAACTTCCTATGTTTTATGATTGAATAGAAGTACCTTGTGTTGTCATCTCTGATAAACGCTCATCTACACCTCATCGAACACTAGGTGTAGGCGATCGTATTCTAGTATTAAACCCAACAAAGAGTTGGGGTCGAACCCATTGGGAGCGATACAATATAGAATTTAATTAAGAAGTAAAGGTTGTGTTCTAATCAGTTATAGATGTAGACATTATAGAAACCAAGAAAAGTACATTAATGGTTTGACAAAAAATGTAAGATGGAGGAGAGGGGGGTTAAGAGTGTCAATTAACAACTACAACAATTAGAAAAGTAGGGGAGTCATCAAATAGAAATGAATTCTCGTGGATGTGATCGATTATAGGCTAATTTCGCTATAGGTAATTGAAATTTACTAACAACGTAGGTTAGGCTATAGATGCAATAGCTTTCTCTCGAACAACTCTTACGATTCAAGTGAGTTCTCTCGAACCTCGACAAGCTTAACAATATAAACAACCCAAAACCTTAATTTGTTTACTCTCTCGAGCTAGATAGGTAGGATCGAATTAAGATTCACTCTCTCTCGAACTAGATAGGTAGGATCAAATTAAGATTCACTCTCTCGAGTTGAAACTATGACAACCCAATCACTACTATCATCAATCGATAACCTTGGTTCGATAACCTCTCTCTCGAGCAAGCCCAAAATACTAAGCTAAAATTGCATTCGCAACTACACTTTATGAGTTAATACACAACCATTAATCAAACCCACTTTAAAACACCATTTAAATTAGTAAACAACAATACCATAAGCTAATTAGAACAAATAATCACATGATCACACCCCAAGAATTGGGGTTTTAGTCACACATCATAAAAAGGAAGAAATCAATACCAATTACGTTCTCCATAAGCTGGGTATTCCAATCCACGTCTTTACAATGATTCAAAATGCTCAATATCGTAAACCCAACTCAAAATCTACTAGAAACAACTAGATTAAGTAACCAACGAAAGTTTCAAGTTCTACAATGGAGAAATTACTCAGCAAATGACTGGATTTAAGACTGGACCCTTTTTCTGCTTTCTGAAATTCAATTTATACTTTCTCAAATTTTGGTCTTCAGGATCACTAGGCGAGGTTAGTCGAGCATCGTTGACCAAGTCGGTGATGCGCCAATGGTTTCATTCCATCGAAGGGTTTGCCTTGGCTCTTTAACCTTAGGGTTCTATTACTTTAGGCGATCCAAGTTTGTGTCGCCGATTCATTCAGCTGTTCACCGAAGGTCCAAATCCATCACTAATTTGGGTTCTCCCCACGAATGGCAGTCTGGAACTTTAGGCGAGCTGAAGTGTCACTCGGCGAGTCAGAGTGGCTTTGGCGATTTTCAGCTTTTGCTATCTTCAACCTTATTCATCTTTTTTGCTCCTTTTTGCCCGGTAATGTCCTTGCCTTGCTCCTTTGCCTTCATTGCTGTAAATTAACACTTTAACATCAGTTTAGAGCATAAATTAAGCATTGAGGACAATAAAACTATGATAACCAAGCCCTAAATGAGTCGAAATCTCAGACTCATCAACATCCCCAACTTAAACTTTTGCTTGTCCTCAAGTAAAACTGAAGATTGATCAGCTCAATAAGGATGTCTACAAATAGTGCTACTCAAGACTCAACATGAATACACACAAGAGATTAAAACTACATATGCAATGTTCAATTGTGCACTCTAAGTTTCAAACTGTGACTAACCATTATCAAATGCACTCAAGCTCACAATGCTTGTTAAGTGCAAGTTCAAGCTCAACAAAAGCATTCTAATGCCATGACATCAAAATGATTCCATGCTCATACAAAGCTCATCAACTTTTAAAATTTCGGAATTAAAACAACTCTCACTCTCTAAAAAACAAACACATGCATGATCCTGCCCCATAGGCCTGCACATATTTTCCAATCAACATGATAATAAGCTCATTCAAGATCACAAAGGTCTTTCAAGGCTTGTAGTGGGGCTGAGGGTAATAATATGATCATTTAGGATTAGGGACTTTTACCTTCATGAAGCATGGCCTGCATTTCATTCTTTCTCCTTTTCTATCACACTTTTTGCTTTTCAAAATCCTCACCCTACTCTTTCAAGTACGCATCATTGGATACCCCTATTTCTTTTGCTCATTGGACACACTTTATTTCAACAATTCTTTTCTTTTTCGATCTTTTTCTTCTTTTCATTTCTATCTTTCTCTCTCTTTTCTATATGGAGGGTTCCATCTTTATTACACAATCTTTAAAGAGGTGAATTTCTCAAACTTCTTGATTTTCCTCCCTTTTTCACCACACCCCAACTTAGGATTTTGGTCTAAGTTGGCTATTCAACATACCCAATGCTCCATGAAGATTTTAGGTGGGAAGGAAAGTGATCATATATGTTCAAGGTTCAACCAAAGAAAAGGATAGGCTCAAATGGTGCCAAGCTAGGTTCATACTCTCACAAGGGTTTTACAAAGATGTATAATGGCAACATTGGCTAACTCTCCACAAATTGTGCCTAAGATCATCTCTATCATTCGCTCACACTAGCCAATTGGACCAACGGGGCAGGTTCTAGGTATTAACAAGCATGCATTTCAAGACAACCTCACCACACACGACATTCAACACAATCATCAAAACAAGACTTTACCATTTTTGCTAGCGTGCAACGATCATCATAAGAGTTTCACTTAATAAGCGACTTACTCACAATGAGATGCTATGAATTCACATATGACTTATGCAACTCAATTTGCGTTATCGGATTTGCACACACATGTCATTCAAACAAGAGCATTATTCAAGTTATTGGCATTGACCACAATTGACACTCAAAATTGTAAGAGAACAACCCTTTTCAAACAAACAAGAGGTGGCAATTTTAAAAATCAGTTCAAAACCATTTGCAATTCAAAACAAGGGACCAACACAATAGATCAAAACCATATACATAAGAACAGAAGATATGATCCAACATTCACAAAACAACAATAGCAAACATCCACAAAACAACCCAAAATAGGCAGGTATGAAAATACCTCATCCTGCCAAACTAGTCTAGAAGTTGTCCTCAAATGCAAAGAAATAATAAAATAGTCTAAAAATGACAAAAATGGAGTAAAAGGATCATCTTGTCAGGCTAAGCTTGGGGTGATCTCGCATATCGGTGAATCCATCCGTCTGGGCATCAGTGTTCGGCTTAGCAGCATCCTTGGCTCCACTATAGCCCACCATCGAGGTATCTCTGAGTGATGCCTGCACAACTGTCTCTACCATGGCTCCCTTAAGATCAACTGAATCATCATACATTGCAACATTACAGACACCCTGCTCCTCCTCATTAGTCTGTGCCTCAGACTCGACATCTGCATCATCAGTCTTAGGAACATCGCCAGTCGTAGTAGCTGAAGGAACCTAAGAACTAGCTGAAATATCAGTGCTCGCATTGTCGGGAATCTCAACTGCACCGAAAAACATCGATAAATATATGGACTTCAGCTCATCCAAATCCTTGCGCAGCTCTACAACATCGGCCTTCAAGGCTGTCATAGCAGTAGAATCATTCCGACCCTGCTCACAAGACTGAACCCTCACAGTAAAGGAATATAGTAAGCCATCAATCAACTCTCTATGCTCTCTTATCTCAGCCCTAATCAGGGCCAAGGTAGCAACAATTGCCCGTTCTATCATCCCAAGCACAATGGCCTCTACCTAGGAGGCACGCACATCAATGGAATGAGCTACATGGACCATCTTGTATAACATGGCTTGGATGATAGGGGGTCAGGAGGCGGCAATAGCAACAACGGTAGACGTAGTGGGAGGGGGTGCAACAATAGAACTAGGATTAACAGAAGTAGAAGGACCAGAGGTACCTATAGGCTCACTGGTCTAAGGGGGCAGTATTACCTTAGTCATCAACATATCAACGTCAACTACCGAGGACCTATCCACCGGTGCAACCCTTCTCATGTCGGCCTCATCCTTCAAGTATTCGGCCTCAATCCACCGGTTGTCAGTAGAGGAAGTGGAACTCATTTCCACATTCGTCTTGGTAACTACCAAAACATAGGCGCGCCTTCACAACTCAGTGATCAATATAGGGAAGGGAAGGGAGGTCTGTCTCTGCTTGGCCCTCATTGCTATCTCTTGCTCAATGAGCAGACCCAAGTTCCGTCTATTTCGATCCATAATAGAACCTAGACACACAACCTTCAGATGTCGAAGGATCGACTCATTCTGCGAAGGCATGATGGTGCTGCTAATAAACCCAAACCAGTAACTGGCAGCCACGTTCAAGTCCTTCTTCTCAATCGGTGCACCGGCCTAGATCCACCTCGGTGTCATATAAAAAATTAGGGGCGCTAACCAACCCTTTAGATCATGTAGGGTCTTCTTCTTGATGAGATCAATGTAGTCATGCATGAAGTTCCTTGAACACCTGAGTACCTCATTAATATCCGAACTGCTACACTTCACATTATTCCCCCGAACCATCACATGATCTACCGGTTTAAACATGCTTCCCTTCTTTTTCCCGTTTGGAACCAGCTCCCCATAAGTAGAGTAGAATTCATGGACCCAAGTAGGGATGTAAGAGCGTTAGGGCTTTGTGAAAATTTCAAATTTGTGAAACTTTAGAGTGCTCCACACTTCGGGGTACGGCCTACCACGCCATTTGTGGACCACTGCTTTTCCTCTAAAATGGTCCTCGAACCCTCGGCTATTAGTCTGTTGAGTGACCGGGGTGGAGTAGCC